TGCCTTGTTGCTGCTTTTAGCTGCCGCGTGTGCCGAGCACCGAGGTAAGGGGATTTATCACACGCCTGGGGCTTTGCTTTCCTCTGGGGCATGGGGGACGAGACCGGGGCCTTCAGCTCCAGCAGTTTTCGGTGACTTCCCCTCTCCCCTGCCAAATTGCCGGAGAGGATTCAGAGAGAGGAAAGGGAAGGTGTGGGATGATGTTTTGGTACCCAGACTGCCCCTTTGGCATGATGCTGAAGGCAAAGAAGCTGGGATGGAATTGGGGGCAGAGGGAGAGGAGAGTTGCTGGGCCTTGCTTTGCAAGGGGATATGAGATTTTTCTGACCCCCTTCATAAGCACCATTTCACAGTAAAACCCACCCCTCGGATGGAAACGATGCTCCGTGCCACCTCTTGCTGCCTTCATAGCTCCGCAGGGAATCATCCACCTGCCAAAAGAAAACCCCTTGAAACTTCCTTCTTCCATACCGCTTTATGAAAATGAAAAGAGATGCAACAGGTTGGCACTTAAAGCAGGACTGACAACCAATGTTCCTGTGGGGAACGGGAATTGCCTTTTACCATGGCTTCCCCTTTTTTCCCAGAGTTACCAGCCTTGCAAAAGCCCCCTCGCCCTTTCTTACCCACTGAAGCAATGTGACCTTCAGTGTAACGCCACATAACCCCTTGGTTTTGTGGAGATGACCCTGCTCTGCACTGTAATACCAGTAAATACTGGTATCACTATTTACCCGGCTGGTACCAAAGTCTACCCGACGTGGTTTGTAGCAAAAATCGATAGCATTTTTCCGGGGATGAGAGCGTTGCCGGGGATGTCTTCACTGCTGGGTACTCCTGACCTCTATGGTCCCATCTCCAGATCCCCCAGCCCTTACGGTCTCCAAACCCTGCCAGGAAAACCAACACCACACATTTCAAGCACACAGAAACGTCCGTTGGGACAAGGGGTGAACGCACCTGGTGTTTTACCTGTAGCTCTCCCAGCTCTTTGGCTGCAGAGCTGGAGGGGCAGCCTGGGTACCGGAGGTACTTCTCCGAGAGCAGCAGTGCAGCAGTGGCCCATGCTGGTCTGCAGTGCCGTGCCAGCATCCCCCCAGGGACCACCACCAAGGCTGACTCAAGAAAAGAAGCAACCGTGTAAAAAAAATAACAATCCCCAACTGAATAAAGCCAGAGCCCCGCAACCTTGCACCATGTTTTGTGGTGGCATAGCATCCCTCCTTCCCACGCTGCTGCCGGGGAGGGACGTGGAAAATGAGGGCAAAATAGCGGGTCAGATGGGAGCAGGCTGTTCCCCAAATGATCGTTTTCCCTGGCAAAATGCAGAAGACCCGAGTTATTTTCTGTAGGAGACTCAATTAAACAGAGCCATGCTGCTTTGGGTTTTGGATTTCTTTTCCTGCAAGGAGAAAGGTTGTTGGAAATGAGCTCCATTGCACCCAAAGAGAAGAGCATGGGAGGCAGTACTGCAGGGGAAAGCAAAGCTGGTGTTTTCCTGCTCCCCAGCCACCACTCAGGCTGCACCCAAGTGAGCCAAAGCACAAAACCTGCTCACAAATCCTCTTTTTTCTGCGCTTACAGGTAAAGATTATGTCCGGGACAAAGTCTGCCAGGAGTTCAGGATCCTGGGGAAGGAGGACTTCCGAACCCTGTAGGTACCTCCTGCCGTATTTGCCTTCCCAGGACACTCAGCACCTAAGCCAAGACCAAAAAAAAAAAAAAAATTAAAACAATTTTAGAAAGGGGAGGATTTATTTACTCCCTGCAGATGAGGAACCTGATTGCTCTTAACAGGAGGAAAGTTTGCTTCATCGCTGAGCTCTTCAAAACAGTATGAGGTGCCTAAATAATTAGGAATCCTAACAGAGCTGGTGCATGATCCCCTGGAAAGGGCAGCCCCCGGCCTGAGACCCATTCTGGGTCTTTCTTGGCCGTTTTCCAAGGAATATGCTGCTATTTCTTGCAGTGCAACAGCTGCTCCTCTCCGTCTTGTTAAACCCTGTTTCGGCAGAATGATGCTGCAATGTGATTTTTTTTTTAAAGAGAGAGAAAGACACTACCAGCTCATCCTCTCCTTGCTCCCTGCTCCCAGGACCATTATTGCCAACAGCAGGAAATTCTCCAACGCCACCTTTGAGGAGATCAGCCACCTCGTCCGCGAAATCGTCTCCCTGGCTGAAACCTGCTGCACTGAAGGTGCCGACCCTTCCTGCTATGACGCCGGGGTGAGGCTGACCGAAAACAGGAGATGGACCCCAAAACGGGGGGCAGGGGGGATGGGATGGCCCCAGCGTGTAACCTCCTCTCCCTCCCACAGTCCTCGGCCCTGTCAGCCAAATCCTGCAGCAGGGATTCGCCCTTCCCGGCCCACCCCGGCACGGCCGGCTGCTGCACCCACGAGGGGCTGGAGCAGAAGCTGTGCCTGGCCGCCCTGCGGCACCCGCCCCAGCAGCTGCCCCGCTACCTCCAGCCCTCCAACGAAGAGCTCTGCGAGGCCTTCAAGAAGGACCCCAAGGACTTTGCAGACAGGTAAGCCGGGATGGGGATGGCACTTGGTCTTGCGGGTAACGCCTGGTTGAGCACTGGTGCCTGCTGCCATCGGGCGACGTCCGGATGCTCACAGAGCAAACCTCTCCTGGTCTCGCCCCTCTGACATCTTGCTGGCCGTGGGGCTACCAGCACATCAGAGTAAAAAGTTGGGGTGTCCTGCACTAGCACGGGCCCCAGGAACAGGATTTTACCACAGGAATGAGGCCATCGCCTGTGTGAGTGGCCGGAGAGGAGCCACCAGCCCACTCGATGGCTTGGTGGCAGCATGGTGTGATACCTGGAGAGAGGTCCCACCCCCGGGCCACCCTAATGCTCCAAGAACCCCACACCTTCTGCACCAGAGCACCCAGATCCCCCACCTCTGCCGCAGGTTCCTGCATGACTATGCCAGCAGCTATGGCCAGGCGCCACTGCCTGTGCTGCTGGGTTCCACACGGACCTTCCTCTCCATGGTGTCCACCTGCTGCATCTCCCCCATGCCCACCGCCTGCTTCCTGAAGGAGGTGAGTCCCTTCGGAATGCCAGGCTCATCCCCATCCTTGCTCCCTGGAGAGCCAGGCGAGCACCGTGCTGATGGCCCAGGGAGAGGGGGCTGGGAAAGGCTTGCATTTTCCTTGGAGGACACCTCCATCTTCTTTTTGTGGCAGAAACTGGAAAGGAAAACCATCTCCCTCCTCACCCTGATGTCAAACCGGGTTTGCTCCCGCTTCACAGCGTATGGGAAGGACAAAGTCACCTTCAGGTAAAAGGAGGAAATGGCCTTTACTCTCCTTGAACACAGGTCAGCCTGGGAGCGCATTCCTACTTCAAGCAGTGGGTCCTGTTGACAGGCAGCATTCACAAAGAAAAGTTTTAATTAAGCTGTTAACCCAAGCGTAGCAACCCCTGGAAACTCTCTCTGTGTACATCAGAGGTGCAGAGTGAGTCCCGTGGCTCCCCATCACCTTCCTCCTGTACCTCTATGCGGCGAAACCCCTGCTTGGAGCTGTTAACAGGGCAAGGGGGAGCTGAGCTCCCTAAGCCTCTCGCATGCCTTCTGCCTACCCAGCTACCTTACCTCACTTGCTCAGAAGATTCCCAGTGCTTCCTTCGAGGACCTTTTCCCCCTGGCAGAAGACGCTGCCGAGGTGTTTTCCCAGTGCTGCGACTCGGTGGCCGAGGACTGCATGCAGAAGAAGGTAGGGGAGCCAGAGGCCCAGCCCAAAACCACCTCCCAAGTCAGAGAAGGGGCTTAAGGAGTGAATCCCAACATGGCAAGGGGGTCCGCGCACCCACTGCTCTCCTCTTCGCAGCTATCGGAGCACACGGCCAAAGCCTGCGGCATGCTCTCAGCCCAGGACAAAAGGTTTGCCGACTGCTGCAAGGGGAAAAACCTCATGCAAAACTATTTCTGCATCTCGGCCTTGCCACCGGCACCCGCCCCCAAACTGCCGGAGGCGCAGAAGCCAACGGAGGAGCAGCTGTGCGGTGAGGAGGGGGCTCGCCAAGCCAAGAGGTGAGTGGTACCTGCAGCAGCTGTGTCGCTGGGTTACCTCTGGTACCCCGGCTGCCGCTCCTGCTGACCCTTCCTCCTCCCTGTGTCTTCGTTATATGGTGTCATCATTATTAGGAGAACTGGGGCAGCACCCTCTCCTCTCTCAGGGGTGTCGCCCTCAGGGGCTGCACAAAGGTGGCAAACGCAGGCCCCACCCCACGCCGAGCAGTGCCGGTAATAAAAACTCATAACGGCAACTTGATTTCCCTGGCCCAGGTACCTGTTCGAGCTGGCACGGAGGCACACCAGTGTTCCTGACGCCTTCCTCAGCAAGCTGTACGATGCTTCCAAAAAAGTCAGGGGGGACTGCTGCTCTGCCAAGGACACCTCTGCCTGCCTGGCCAGCAAGGTGAGCTGCGGGCACAGCTCACCCTGCTGTCCCCCTCCCCGGCCCTGCATCCCCCAAAACCCCGCAGGGGCTTTACCCAGCCTGGTTACAGCCATCCTCTGCCACCCAGCGCCAGCAGATGGGAGAAGAGCTGCCCCCCTTCCTGGAAAAGGCCAGCCGGCTCTGTGGGCAGTACACTGAGTTAAATTTCCTCGACTTCAAGAAGAGGTAAGCCTTTGCTCCCCAGCCCCAAAACTGCATCAGCGGATGCAAGCAAAAGTTGGCCAAAATTTTGCGGATGCACGAACGGAGATAGTGGTTTTGAGCCTCAACAGCAGCAAAATATGGGGGAGCACATCCTTTGCAGGGCATCCATCCCTGCTCCTGCTTCCCCCACCCCCAAAAAATGCTGTATGGGTATGTAACGTCCCCGAGTCCCTGCTAAAACTCTCTGGTCCCTATGCCGCAGGCTGCGGGAGAGCCTGATGCAGACGATGCCCGAGGCCAGCCAGGAGCTGCCGGGGCGGGGGGGGGGGCGACCACTTCGCCTCCACCTGCTGTGCCCCCAACTCTCCCCCCCTCTACTGCGCCTCCAAGGTAGAGCCATGGCACCCGCCCCAGCCCTGAGCTGTGCTGGCAGCCAGCC